TCCATACCCGTTCCAGACCAAACAAAGTATTTAAGCACATACTCACCCTGTATCATTGTGGGAACCAGCAAGCGTCAGTCATCGTTCCACACCCTCCGGATCGAGTATGCGATCCAGACCCTCCGGATCAGACAGCTTAGGAACGTGCGCTCTGGGCACGTGGTTTTGATCAGTAGCCATATGTGCCCTTCTGCAACATGTCCGCCTTGCTTCCGCTGGGTTGCGAAGCGCCACAATTTCCTTCCCGTCTGCTTGTCCAGGTGCAGCAGCACCAGATATGTTGGTAGGTGGACTGCTCATACGTTTGCGTCATGTGATGCTGGGCTCACAGAATCGAAGCTTCCAATTCTGATGTGACTCCAGCTTCTCCTGGATTCCTGAAGAGCGCTTCCGTCAGCCCCTTGCAGCATTCAGTGGGCCCGACGCTGGAGACGCAGCTTCCCCGACCATCGAGCTCATTCCAGGCCACAAGCCAAGACGCTTATGTTGCAGCGTCGGGCACTTGGGACTTGCTTATGAAGCTGAGCGGTTCATTGTGCAGGTCCCCGTCATCTGGGAGAGAGTGTTTATTACCCCAATGCAGTGCTGCTTGTGGGGGCCCAGCGGCAGGCAACAAAGACAATGAAGTCAACAGAATTGCAGCCTGGCATGATTTTTTAAGTCGTATAGCCTCGACGCCAAATGAGCCCCAAAAAAGGGCACCCTCCGTTGCCAGGGTTCCGTGGGTTCGCCTGCTTCGTGAGTGTGCTCGACGCATTTGTTTGTTCTTTGCACATCAGCAAAACCTAGACACTGGACAGGCCCTTTTGGACATGACAGTGCTCGGGCTTCGGCATCTGCGCCAAGGGTACAAGGCTTCGAAGACCCAAAAGGCCCAATACCCTTGAATTGAGGAATATAGCTTAAATCATGTTAGGGAACCGTCTAGGGTACAAGGCTTCGAAGACATATCATGGTAAGACTCGCTTGCGTCCTGCAGCGCCTTTCACTTTCGGCTTGCGGCACTCCTAGCGCGCCATGGCTCCCATCACGGCGATGGAGGCAATGTGGGCATCTTGCGTGCTTTGCTCTACCAGGGGGGATGGTTCCTTAACCCCTTACTATCGTAGATTCCATTTTCTTTTCCATGATTACTATAATATAACCTCTATGGTATAACCCCTACTATACAAGCCCAAACATGGGGGTCAGCAACATGATGCAGCATGCTAAATTCGGGAACCCCTTGCAGAAGTGAAGCCTTGGCAGGCTTTGAAGTCCATGAAAGCCATGTAGGCCAGATGTTCCTGGCAAGTTGGCAGATGCAAAGGGGGTAATATAGGGGCTTATATGGGGCTTATATAGGGGTAAGATAGAGGTTATATAGGGGTTATATAGTAATCATGGAAAAGAAAATGGAAGCTACTATAGTAAGGGCTCAGGGTTTAAGGCCCTGTGCTAGGATCAGGCAAACACTGGAGGTCAGACGATTCGTTGGGAATCACGGCACGCCGCAGGGATCCTTGGCACATTGGAGCGAAGTGCAGGCTCACCCTAAACTGGGTTGCTGTTAAGGAACTTAATTTAAGTCACTATATTGGGGAAACCCGATTATTTACTATATATACCCATTATGGTAACTTAATTTAAGTTCCTTAACAGCTACCCAGTAAACCCTAAACCCCCTCAGAGCAGGCTCACGGTGGTCGAAATTTCTCCAAACTGGTTAAGCCATTTAAGCCTTTGCGGGATTTGTAGCCTATGATGCTCAAAACGTCACACGATCTAGGATCCAATGCGTCAGAATCTGCAGTTAGTAAAGCTTTCTATGTTTCGGAGTTGAGGTTAGATAGGGGCTTATATGGGGCTCATACTGTATACGGGTTATACAGTAATCATGGAAAAGAAAATGGAAGCTACTATAGTATTTTTAGGTTTGTGAATCATGGGCGCGCATGGGGGTCTCAGCAGCGATGGAGGCATGCTGTTTGTGGCAGTTCTCGTGTTGAGCATGCAGTAAATGTTACACGTAATGCAAGACCATGGCAGGCCATGAAGGCCATTGCACTTGCTTGGTATTGTTGGGGGGGAGGTTCATATTCTTAATATTGTTAATACTATTTATTGAATCTGAGTTATGATTCTGGAGGTTTCCGGTTAACTTGCGGGCTGGCGAAAAGGGCAGAGGAGGTGCTCATTAAGACACGATATGTTGTTCTGCAGCTGCTGATCCCAGTCGCCAGTCGTGGATTCACAAGGCCAAGGTTCAACCTTAGGCCCGTGCAAGAGGTGAGGACACTTTGTATCTGTTAGCTGGACCCCCCACCCAGTAATAGTGATTATAAGGGATAATCGGCATTATATTAGGGTCCTTTGATATTCCTATTATACCACTATTATAGGGTGGGGGGTCCTCCTAATGTATCTGTCTCAGCTGCTTGTTACAAGGCTGGCGCGAGCATGCCAGCTCTCCTGGCAGGCGACGAAGCGGAGGACCAGGATGCCGCCCTGGCAATGAAGGCATTGACTGCGAGATGTGGAGTCGCCTGGAGTCGTGATGTATCGCAGTCTTTTAGATCTGAGTTCTTGACAATGGAGTATTGTCTTGGGGCAGAGTTCCTAAACGCATGGATTGGCTGCGCTGCATGAGCCATGGTTGCTTAAACTCCCCTCTGGTTGGAGGCCTTTTGTACTGAAGATCCAGAAAACTTGTTCTAACCAGCTATCGGAGGCGATGAAGGCCATGACGACGGCAGCTGGGCCTCTGCGTGTGGAGAAAAAAGGTCTGCCTGTCCATTGCAGGCTTGCAGGGTTCCTTGGTGTTGCCGTTTACGCGGGGAGATGTCGCGCATAGATGTGGTTTTCTGATGTTTGCTGAGTTGTTCGGCGACGCCTTGACTCTGGATAAGGTTCTGTTGGAGATGAAAGCGTCCGAGAGTAAGGTAGAGGGCTTCACAGACCCAGCGCCACAGATGCTTGAAGCCTGTAAGCTGCAGCACCTTTCAGTTCTCTCTCACCCGCCCGTCTCACGCCATGAATGCGATGAAGGCGCATCAATTGTGCATACTGGTCGTGTTTGCATTGAACGCTGTAATGTAGACAGGAGGCTTTACTGTTTGGAAGCATTCGGCCAAGGGGCAGCTGCCCGCCCCAGCATCAAATTGCCCCGGTGCAGTTGCCAAAATATCCCTATATTACCCCAATATAATTACCCCAATATAATAGTGGTCTCCATTTTCTTTTCCATTATCCCTATATTACCCCAGTGTAATGCTAGAGTCTAGAGGAGGTTCGCACGTGGTGGTAGCAACCCTGTAGATTGTGTGTGATGGGATGGAGGGCCCCAAAGTGGGTTGGAACACTGCGCCGGCCATACCTTATGGTTCGGCGCCTGGTTCGGCAGGAGACCCGGTGGTTCGAGAAGTCCTCTATGAACGGAGGGGTTCCCAGGACTTGAATTGAAAAAATCGGGACATTTTCGGATGGCATTCGAGAAGCAGTGATGATACCGTATGAGTACTGGGTTGCTGTTAAGGAACTTAATTTAAGTTACCATAATGGGTATATATAGTAAATAATGGGTTTTCCCCAATATAGTAACTTGACTTGAGTTCCTTAACAGCAACCCAGAGTATTGGTACCTTCGCTCTAGATGAGCCTGAAGGATCCTCTGTTGGTGACGGGCGCTCCTCAAGCTGGCAGTCCAGAAATGCTATGATGACCCTTAGCCATTTGCAACCCTTAGCTATTTGCTGGTTGAGACTGCGATCACTCGGTTGAGAGCTTGTCATGCAACACCAGTTACCTGCCTTGTTTGCTCCACATCTTCGAATATGCAATATTAGGAAGCGTATCAAAGTAATTGCTGTCCCCAGATTGGGGAGACGCGCCACCCCCCAGGGTTCATGCAACATTCCGAGAAGTTTAATTGACGGGTCTTGCCACGTGAGCCACAAAAAGCTCTTCAGCCTGAGCTTGTGATCAGGTTTATCAGACGGGAGTGCAGGAGCTCAAGCCTACGATAGATGCACTTGCATTATGGTCGTCGTAATTGTCTTATGATTTGTCGTGGCATGATGCGCATGTCTTTCTCGTCTTCTGCCCGAACAACTCTAACAGAACAATTCTTGTAACATGTGGGTATTCGCCGAAATTGTGGGTCCTTTCTGGTAAACCCACTCGAGGGCCTTCTGTAATCCGAAGATCAGCGTGTTTGATTGCATACGTATTTGCCTCTGAGACCCGCTTCGCTAGCCCATGCCTTCTTTCCGCAAGGAAGGGAATTGGTATGCAGGCTCCCTTTTGTAAGGCTGTAGTCCTATGCACAAAAAAACCCAGTTGCACCTCCAGTGTTTATCAGGCGGTGGTGTGGGGACTTCTTTTATCGCACCCTCTCCTGTAACACAATGTGATTACCATTATTACTATCATTACCATTACTACATATTATTACAACCATTACCACTTGTACTAGTCTATTTTCATGACTATGAATTACTATTACTACTGTTGCTGCTGTCATTGTTCTTATGCTTCTTACTATTACTTATTAGTGTCATTATTATAAGGCCTGGAGCTCGAACAGTGGCTATGCGCATGCGCCTGCGCCGCCTCGACCACCGCAACAGCCAGGTCAGATGCAGCTGCTGGACACCGAGATTCTGTTCATGGGTTTAGGGTTTAAGATTTAGGGTTATGCTGGTCTTGGCGAGCTTGGTAGATACTTTCCTGCCTACCCCATATTCTAACCTACCTCGGGAGGATTGTGATACCCAAGCCGCAAGCAAGAATTGAGTGTTTTTACCTCGCTTTTTCTTGATGATGGCGCCATCGAGCTCCAGATTGGTTCCTTCCAAGGGTTTTTTTACGTTTGATGGACAAACTCCTGCACTAGCCTGTGTACATAGCCCCTAGGACACGGTCCCATCAAGTATGGTAGTATAGTATATCCGGAGTCATGAAGGTTTTGTCTCTCGACAGTATAGTAAAGCGCAAACCTCAGCAGGCACAACTGGCTTGCTTGTACTTTGGGATAGACTGTAGGAGGACTCCCCCCACCCGCCCCACCCTTCACGGTATCGGCTGCATGGACTGTGTTCGGGAAGAATCTTCCCGTGCCTCCATTGCTTGATCATAATTGTACTCTGAGGCCGCACGAAGGGCCATTCAGCGACCCGAACCTGACTCTGCAGGACAGCGGAGCCCCCATCATGTAGAAACATAGAGACTTGCAAGCATTGCTGCCACAAAATCGTCTGGTCACTACAGGAGACATCGGCTCAGGGCCCGGGATTCGAAGCTTGCTCCCGAAGACCTGTTCAGGGGCGGTGCTTTGTAAAGTGTCTTTTTCGTCTGAGAAGGCGATGTACAGCAAGGCCCATATTTAGGCGCATCTGTGCACATAGAAGGAGTAAACAGCAAAGGGTAGCCTGAAGAATGCAAGCCGCGCAGTCCCAAGAGTTGCTTACAGTACCTCAAGGGGGTTGTTTATGTTCTTCTGAATTCTGACAGTTGAGATGCGCATGGAAGAATTTGTCAGGAACCATCCTATCCAGTAAGCTTGTATCTTCCTGGGCTCCTGCGGTTCCCGAGAAGGAATTACCTACAAAGGCCGCCAAAAGTCTGCAGCCGACTCGGGAATTGATCGCCTCTCCCCATAATAGTAAGTAATAATAGTAGAAATAGGAATACTATAATAGTAAGTAATAATAGTAGAAATAGGAATACTATAATAGTAAGTAATACTAGTAGAAATAGGAATACTATAATAGTAAGTAATAATAGTAGAAATAGGAATACTATAATAGTAAGTAATACTAGTAGAAATAGGAATTATAGTAGTGGGGCTGGCTCTGAAGGGACTGAACTAGATGATCACAGCCTCCCAAGCTCAAGGCTCCCAATGTTTCCACTTCTTCAAAGACGACCTGCCTTCTACAAGACTTATATGGAAGCCCAAACAAGCCCCACGAGGGAAGCAAGTTATCACCCTTCCATACTCATAGCATAATTTGCCCGAAGAAACACTACCCTGCCCGACACTAGCCTTCGCTGGCTAATATTCACCTGCGGACATACTATCCCTATGTAGCCGACGCATAACCTTAGAACCCACTGTTTCCATTTCATGTTCCATATTCTTTTCCATTTGATTCTCTGTTATTATTGCGTGAGAATATGCCTGCGTATAAAGACATATGTATTTAGAGCATGTGACTCCTTGGCACTCTAAGAAGTGCAGCAACCAGTAGGGACAACGATGCTTTTGCCAGGTTGAGTACCCTACGGGAAGGAAGGGGCTTTCCTGTAGTGACTCATGCCATCCGTATCCCCTAAACCCTAAACCCCAAACCCATAAAACCCTAAGCCCTAAGCCCATAAAACCCTAAACCCCAAACCCTTAGAACCCTAAACCCATAAAACCTTAAACCCTAAACCGGTTCTTTTTGGGTGAACAAGTTGGATCAACTTCTTGCTTGCTGGCTTCAGCCAGGAGATTGCAGACAAAGCCAGGTGCCAAGCTGGTGCGGTCTAAGAATGCAGTTGCCTCATTTGAGTAGCAGTTTATTTGGAGATACGATGGTACCCAATATAGAGTAAGATTCTATCCTCCTTTGGGGTATAGTATTTTTTATAAGGAATATTATCTTACTAGGTTCAATCACCCAAAAGAACACTACTCATTTGGTATGCCTCCATGTGCGGCTCCACTGTGCAACTCCCAGGTTCTTTGTATGACGCCCCCCAAAGGGGACACATGAGCTATGGTCTTAAACTCTTTGAAAGGGGTTATATAGGATTTCTTTTTCGGAGACTTCCCTAAACCCTAAACCCTCAACCCTAAACCCTAAACCCTGGGGACTTCTATAGGGTTGATTAAGGGGGAGGGTACTAGGACTTTAGACTATAGCTCGCATGTTTTCGAGGAGCTGTTGTATCTAATATGGAGCCCAAGGCGCAAGAGAATCCCTTCAGGAATGATAGCATAATATATAATATTATAATATAATATAATATAGTAGAATATAATATCATATATGGTGCAATATAATATACTATATAGTATAATATGAAAGTATATAATATATAGTATAGTATAATATAATGCAATAGATCATAACATATAGTATAATATATGTATATATATACACACCATAGTCCCATGGCGCTCTGGGTGTTTGAGTTTGAAGATGCTGTCTTTCTGCAGCTGGTAAATGTCACAATCCAGAGCAGGGCTAAGATCTACCGTGGGGCACAGGAATTCTATTAGGATTCAGGGTTTAGGGTTTAGGATTTAGGGTTTACGGTTTAGGATTTTAGGATTTAGGGTTTAGGGCTTAGGGTTTAGTGTATCGCTAAGGCATGCTTCGTATGTCCTTTAGCTGGATAAGAAGTATTGCAAGCCTGTTGACTGTCATGGTTTGCCCCAAGCTGCAAAGCTTGCAGCAGATTTCAGGATATGGTCCAACTAGTATGGGTGCATCTGCAAGGACCTCTTTAGAGATTTCTGAGAGCTGAGGACCCCTTCTTCTATCCAGAGAATGGGGGATGCTTCAAACGGCCCCAAAATCGCAGAAACACAACGTCCGCCCGCAACTTCTTGCTCGTTGCTATTCGCATCCGTTTTGTGCTATCCTTGTTTAGAACGGCTATAATCCCCACCTACCCCTAGCCCTAGCGCCAAGGGCCTCTCCTTGGAAAAATCGCCATGCATGCTTTTACATGAGCCATTATCTGAAGTCCCTAAAACGGGACTATAAAGGGGTTTTCAGCGACTACTATAAGGGTTTAAGGGAGATACTTGGAGTTTAGACTATGGCTCACATGAATCTGGAAAACTGCAGCTTTATCCTGTCTCTTTCACCTGAAGCTGTGCGCTGCAGGCTAATGCACTCCAGCAGCAGATAGACGAGAACGCTGGTCGGCAGAAGGCTTATCCGGTAGGTGAGGCGTACTTTCAGTGGTATATACTGGATATTTATAAGGGTACGGTATATATAGGGGTTTCCCTAAATTAGGGGTACCAGGAGGATTATAGTCTTTTGGAATTTATACTTGGGTACCCTAATTTGGGGAAACTACCCTACAAGGGGTGTATAGGAGCAGGGTTTGGGGGTTCCCAGGCTGTGGCGGTAGTGAAGACTGGTGGAAGATAGGCTTCAAGGTCAAGGTTGTAGGGCTGAGATTCACATGTACACCAGGTTTAGGATTTAGGTGGACACCCCACCCTTTAATAGTGGTAGAATAGGAATAGGGGCACTACTATAGGGTCTATTAAGGGGGGTATTAGGAGTTTAGACCATAGCTCACATGCTCTCCGTCCCTTCACCTTGCCATCCCCCAGTTTTGATTGCGCAAAACTTGCACGACCCACAGTCCTTCGAAACTATGCATTAGTATCTCCTACAACTTCAAGAAGCCTATACATAATCTACACTTGTATGCCGGAGTATACCGCCAATATACCCCCATATACCGCTTACATACCCTGTATATGCCCCTATTTACGCCCTGTTTGCCTACTAAACCCCCCCTTTACCCCTTATATGAGCTGTAGTCTAAATTCCGTAAAGGTGGTTATATAGGGGAGTATTTCAGGGGTCATGAGGGGGGATACTAGGAGTTTAGACTATAGCTCATGTAGCCCCTAGAAATCCTATATAATCCCAGTTTTCATTTCATGTTCCATTTACTTTTCCACGTGATTCTCCATTCTTGGGCATAATATACCCTAAGCCCTGAACCCTAATACCTAATCCCTAAGCCCTAATCCCTAAACCCTGATCGCTAAACCCTGATCCCTAAACCCTGATCCCCAAACCCTGATCGCTAAACCCCGATCCCCAAACCCTAATCCCTAAACCCTAATCCCTAAACCCTGATCCCCAAACCCTACTCCCTAAACCCTAATCCCTAAACCCTAATCCCTAAACCCTGATCCCCAAACCCCCAACTCTAATCCCTAAACCCTAATCCCTAAACCCTAATTCCCAAACCCTTATTCCCAGAAGCTCATGGGCTTGAAAGCAGTGGCAGGCTGAGCTCCGAGCCGCGATGGAGGCGAAGCATCGGGAAGCCCGGCAGCCAAGTAATCCACGAGGGTAAGGGCTTAGGGTCTAGGGGTTTAGGGGTTAGGGATTAGGGTTTAGGGTCTAGGGGTTAGGGTTGAGGGTCTAGGGGTTAGGGTTTAGGGTCTAGGGATTCGGGATTAGGGTCTAGGGATTCGGGATTAGGGTCTAGGGATAGGGTTTAGGGTCTAGGGATTAGGGATGGTCTAGGGTTTAGGGTCTAGGGGTTAGGGATTAGGGTTTAGGGCTTCCCAAAATTAGGGATACCTTTTTGGGGGCCGCCATAATAAGGATGATAGTATTTTAGGATCTATGTTGGGCCGCCCATTTTGGGAAGCTGGTCACATAGTTATACCATTTAGGGTTCAGGGTGGGGTTTAGTCTAGGGCAATTCCACGTGGGGAGTTGGGACGTGGGTACTTTGGTAGAGGCTTATATGATTTTCAAGTGTTTCAGGTCCAGATTATGTGAGCACCGTCCATTCTCATCCACATCATATGAGCACTGTCCCTGTGAAGGCTGTTGGACAACTTGATTGATGGTCTCCAGTATTCCGTGCTCTGATCTCTGCTACTAAGCAGGATTGTGTGGAACTTGCTCCGGGTAGGCTAATCGTTAGTCTTGGCACAGGCTGCGCTCAATCGTTGACTTTGCAGGCACAAGCTTGCCCCAGAACAGGAGCACAAGAAGCTATGCAGGTGCCATGGTACAGCCGTCGCTCGGTTTGTGGCCTGAATATTTTTCAAGTCCGGCTGCAGCACTGATCAAGGGCACCAAAGGCTACGTCTTTTGGGAGGTTAATACATTCAAGCATGTTCTGTATCCACCAGACAATGCAGTGAACAGGCGCGGGGGGATTCTAAATGTCACACAAAAGCCCATGACTGTGATAAGTAGCTGCAGTGCATTGGACGGACCCCCGCTTCAGGTCAGTACGATTTCGAGATATTGTGGAAGACAATGCGCCCCGTACATCCCAATATTTCGGGATGGCATTCCCAGGACTTCCCCTGCCACAGGTGGTTCAAGGTTCCGATGGGCGACGCATGAAGCCAAATCTAGACCCTCACTACACATCAGAAGCAGATATTCAACAGATGCAAACTCCTCACATGGAAAGCAGGCATCTGCTCAGCCTTCTAGTTGCCATTGCAAGAAACCCCGGACAGCGAGCAGAGTCTCGTGACCGCAAGTTCCGAGCAGCTCTTCTTTTGAAGGATCTACTGAACTCAGCCACACGAGGCCAAAATCTTCCAGGCGTGGCAGCAGTGATTGTTGGTGGGTGCGCCCTGGCACTGCAGCATGGACGTGTGGCTTTGGGGGATTCTCCGTTTGAAAGCTGCGCTCAGTGGGCGCGAGTGATAGATTGGTGGCAGGAAATGCTGTCTGCTGGCACGCGATTGCCAGAGGAATTCCGAAATCTCATTGAAAACCATGTAAACCTGTCCTGCGTTGGAAATTTTGATTTGGATTTTTTGTCTGTCATGCCATGTGATTTGATTCAGTATACTGCAGAAGCCTTTGAGAAAACGAAGGTGGAACGTGCCACGGTCGGAGAGCTTGTGGCAGGGATTGTGTTGTCTGTGGATCAGCAGGGCGACAGAACCTTGCTTCGACTTGCAATGGAGCTAATCCGCCAATGGGTGGTGGCACTGCTGCCAGTCCAGCTTGCGAAGGCAGCAGACCCTAGTTCGTCTATGTCTTTCGTAGACGCACGTCGAACCGGTGTCCGGGACTTGCGTGCAGTGGGCTACTTTGATGCTGTACTGGCTCGGATGCAGGCAGACTCTTGCCTGCAAGTTGTATCTCAGTCGCTTAGACGTTTGTAGAAGCTCCATTGATTCAGATCTGATAAATAGCCCTGCATTAGTGTACACACGCCCAAGGGCGAATCGGCGACAGTAGAAGACCTGTTGCGTCACCAAGATGGTCGAGTGAAGAACTTCTACAAGGACGGTGTTTTGTTTGTAGATTGGTTCTGAAACCGAGTGACCCTGAAAGTCGATACGTAGAATGCCCTGTCCTGGCAGGCCTTCGCGTCTGCCTATTTGGAAAAGGCGCGGGAGATTGTGGGCGGCAATCACATGCTGCAGGCGAACCCTTGAACAGAACAATTTTAGTCAATACTTCACAGCCGCTTGCGCGCTGTTCTTTTGGCCCAGGTTCTGTGGGACGGAGGACGTTCCGGCCATACCAAGATAGACGTTGTGAGCATCATCAGCATGGATACTTGTCGTGGGATCATGGCGTTCCCTCAGGCGCAAGCCTGCACCCATGCTCAGTATTGTTTTGGGGCACCGGGTTGAAAGTGCTTGAGGTGATGCCCATGCAGGGCTTGCTCAGAAGCGTGTGTGCGTGCCTGGCCACAGCAGCTGTTAGTAGTTGTCTTAGGTAGGTCAGGACTCCTTTGCAATGCCATTGCCCGTGCGTAGATGACAGAACATCAGCGATCTCCTGCTAGGGCAGGTGCCTTAGCTGCCTGCTTCAAGTGGCATTTTGCCGCCCTGGGCTGTCTGCGGCGCTTGTTGGGGACTAGAGCCTTGGAGGCGGAGCGTGATATCAACTTGTGTGGTCTGAGTAACATTGATGGCAGCAAGTAATTGTGCTAGGCTGTTTGGCTGCACAAGTTGTAGGCATCGGCGTTGGGACAAGCTGATCTGGTGTCGTCGCACTGTTCTGGCGTGGGCCCAGATAGATTGGTTCTGGAGAGCTTTTTGAAACCTGGTATGGCTGCCTTGGGCTATCCTTTTCGATGCCGTGCGCAGCACCACTTTGCAGTGGCGCCCCGCTTGCAGTAGTGCTGAAGTTTCGCCAGTCACGCTGTGCCAAGTTTGATTGATTGACTAGTGCGCAGAACCAACAACCAAGGAAATTGAACCCGCAGCGCAGCGGGTCCTGGTGCAAGGCTGCACAACAGAGGATGAACACGTTGGCGTGGATCTGCTAGAGCACTTCCAGGTTTCCATGTGCCACGTGAGCACGTGGACACTCCTTCAGAAGTTGATCATCCTGTTCACGCTGCCAGCCGTGCCAGTTTTGTGGTGCGTTTGGCACCAACAATATTGTGTTTCTAAGCGCTGCTGCGTTGATGCAAGCGGGTTCCCGTGCACAGATTGGTCCCCAGCTGGGGACCGTGCCGGGCTTGCAGGCAGTACACTACCTGTTTTACTCTGCCTGTTAGCCTGGCACAGGCAGATGCGCACGAGGATCATTTGCCTGGAAAACGTCCCCGCCTTCAATGTCTCAATCGTGGAAGCCTTAGTAGGAGACGTGTATACCGTCTACTCCTTTTATCTGTCCCCATCAGATGTGGCCTTTGAAGTTTTGAGTCGACAGCGACTCTTCCTGCTTCTCCTCCTGCGAGGCTGGGCTGGGTTTTTGCATACTGAGATGAAGCTGCCGCCACAGCTCGTAGTTGTGCACCAAGCCATGTGCAGGAGAAGCTGTTCTTGCCTACGGCGTGCACGACGTCTTGGAGGAAGTCTTGGCAGCTGTCCGGGATGCCCGAGCGGCGGAGTTTGCAAAAGTTCACGTGGCAGACTGATTGATTGCCTCGAACAGGGAGGTTCGTGAGTTTGAGATGCAACTAGCGCAGGTGACCTGGTTTGGAAATCATACGCCCCCAAACTCGCTTAGAGCCCTGAAGAAGCCCCAAACCTCAACCCGAACCCGTGGAAATCTTCAACTTCAGCTGTCAGGGTTGACTGCTAGGGCCAGGGGGCTTGAATTCTTTTGCTGAGGCACGCGGCATCGTGCCGCTTCCTGAGCGGCAAGGGACGATCTACAACAATTTCTATTACCTGCTCCATGACACAGAGAGGCGCAGGTTGTCTGAGTACTTGGAGCGCTGGGAAGCACGAGTTGGCATCCCTGCACAACATGATCCGGACTGCGTAGTGCATTTAGGGGATGACCCCCGAAATCGAGTAGTGTGGAGCGCCAACGGCGCCTTTCCTAGCTTCCGCAGGAACATGAAGATGCTGTATCATCCCTTGTCAGGGACGCTGGTAACCCCGATGGAGCGTCTGGTTCTGCTTGGCTGGCCGTTGTACGATGAGTTAGCAGCAGCAGCCGGTCTGTCAAGAGCAGTAACTGTGCCAGACGTGAATATCCATGGCGTGAAGTTTGCTGGCAACGGATACCATGTTGCAGTTTTCGGCACATGGTTGCTCACATGTCTGACCTGTGTGCAACTGAGCAACTGAGCTGCGCCTTCGCTTGTGCCGCAAAGAGTCTGTGTGAGGGGGAACGCAACGGGGAGAGAGAGAGAGAGAGGGCGAGAGCTGCGCGCAAGGCGGCAAGGTCTCTGCACTACTGATCGCACGTACACGTTCTGCAGTGCACCCGCAAACACTAGGAACTGCAAACTCTGGCACAAAATAGCTTAGGGTTTAGGGTTTAGGGTTTGGGGTTTAAGGGTTTGGGGTTTAGGGTTTGGGGTTTAGGGTTTAGGGTTTAGTAATTTAGGTGAAAGTCCAACTGCGCAAAGAGTTAATTGCTTTGTTGGGGGTTTGGGACTTGCCTGGCGGGGCACGCCCGCTGATTGAATTCATTGAAGGTGAAGTATGGGTGCTGTCCACGGTGCCGCAGCTGTGCCAGAGGGATAGGATTGTGAGTTGTGAGCGCCCTGTGACGCGTCAAGCAGTTGGGCGCCATGATGTCAAAGATGCCGCCGCCCAGCCGGCCGCCTGCAACACGCAGTGGTCCCCCGCTTCCCAAGAGTGTTGCGAAGAACCCTATGCCTGCAAACGCTGCGAGTGCTGGTTCTTTTGGGCCCGCCTCTTCTTCTCTCGCCAGTGGTGGCGCTCCGCCTCCGCCCCCAGCGGCCATGTTGCAGTTGCTTGCGATGGCTCAGGCAGCCGGTCTACCAGCCGCACCGCCAGCCTCAAAAGGCTCGGGCAGGTTCAAATGATAGTCTGTGCGCCAGCCCCATTGCTTGCAGTCTTGTGCCTCTTTATCTTGGACAGGAAAGAAGCAGGCGAAGACCGAGGACCCGGCAAAGCAGAGGGTAAAAGCAACAACGTCCGAGCTTTTTTCCCGAAGCTGGTCTGTTATTGGTGATGTGGCTGTCACTGATCTGAAGCAAGCCCTCCCGAAGATGGCCCCCGCCTTCTGCAACCTGAACCAGTTGCAGCCCCTCGATTTCGAGCAGCACCTGCAGCTGCTTGAATTCGGGACGGGGCAGAGCAGGCAAACTCCGTTGGTGACACGAAAGCGCCCCCTGGATCTGGATTAGCGGATTAGCGCTGAGGCTTTGTAGGTTTGTAGCCTATCATGAGTCATGAGTACCTGTTTGTGTGGACAAGAGAAAACCTATACCTCTGGTCCTTCGCGCGAGCAATTGCTGAGACCCCTGTGGCTGTTGACCTGAGGCACCGATTGGTACGAGGCCCAGGCTGGGGAGCACAGCCTGCGAAAAGAGCAGGGCCTGGATTGCATCAATGCGCCTGTCCAGACAGTCTTGGAAAAAATCCAAGCCAGAGCTGCTGAGGGGACGAATGCGGAGCAGGCGGAGCCCTTGCCGGCAGGGAGCTTCCAGATCATTGCAACCCCTGATGGACGGCAAGTCCTGTGTTGGAAGAACAAGACAGCGTTTCTGCCGACCAATGGGCCATGGGTGCTGGCCCATGACCCGCTCTCTGTCTGATTATTCAAAGTGCTCATCTGGTGTTTTGTGCCCAATAACATGCCAGCCTGTGGCCTGAATTTGTAGCACCTTCCAATGTCCAAGGTCCACGTTGCAGATCTTCGTCACGAACAACCACGAATCGCGCTGGGTGACTGATTACTTCCCGGAGGCGGTAGCGCCCGGGCCCGATGCCAGCACCTTGGTGCCCTTGGCAAATGATAACCTGGAGGGCAGCATGCGATCCGCGTCTTGGCTGCATGGATGCTGAGCCAAGCCTGTTAGTAGGTCTTGTGGGCCTTGCGTTGAGCAACTGCCTGTTTGCGCAGGAAAGGTCCCAGAAGACCGCAACCTCGGACATCCGCTCACCCAGCCCAGAAGAAGAGGCAGATGATGCCCCTGGGCTTCCCGCTTGCTGGCTGCAGTCAATCTCTAGCATGTGTTCAACGCCATGTTGTTTCTTTTGGACTTTCTTGTTTTGAGGTGGAGGTGCGGACATCGCGCAGGTCAGGCAAGCAGTATGCGTGGCGTCTGGAGTTGCAGACCGCCAAGTGGCTGCCGTCCATCAAGTCAAGCTGGCTGGTTGGGGCTGAGGAGGGACGTAGTTACCTCTACAGCGATTCCATCTGGGTTCCCTGGCGCGAGAATGACAGCCCTAATTTAAGCCTGGTAGCTACTACCTCCAGTCTAGCCTCCTAACCTAAGCCTGAGGAATGCTGAAGAACCCTAAAGAGTAGACCTAGCCATAATATTGAGTGGCTCACATAAGGCTCACATAAGGCTCACGTAAGGCTCACATAAGGCTCACATAAGGCTCACATAAGGCTCACATAAGGCTCACATAAGGCTCACATAAGGCTCACATAAGG